TTGCAAAATCCCCATCCTGACTCTGGTGTGGGTACGTTTTTACTCAGGATAGTTCCGGCCCTCGATTCCGAATCTTGTCTACCAGTACTGCGTTTACGTCAACTTCGAGACCGAGTTTCTGCACACCCCAAACAACGAGATCGGCGATGACGTCGATTGGAGAAAAGACGCCGAGAAAGCGGAGGAGGAGGACAAAAGACGGAACGCAAACGTAGTAAAGAGCCCACCTCTGAAAGCGGCCGGGAGTGGTGGGGGCTGGAGCAAATTTTTGGACGAGGAGGCTGTTGCTGGATAAGAAAAGGATCAAATTCCTTTTCATCCTGCTCATCGTCCCCTTTGATAATATTCGGCATAAGTGTAGTTCAAAATGAATTTGGGACTAGGACTACTGGTCCGACACCGCTCAAAAATAAAAGAAAACAGGCCTTCCTCGTTTTGCGTCACTTGTTCATTATCACGGCACGTTGATTCTCTTTCGATTTCGCGTTCGCCGTATTATTGGAAGCATCAGAATGAATGACCAGTTGCCCTAGTTCAATGATGTGGAGCCACACTCGTTGGCAGATCATAAGCCAGAGACAAAGAGTAGTGTGCGAAAGTTTTGCATTTTCTCGTTGATCGAAAAGGGAAATTCTCTCTTCTGGTCGTTCATTTACATAATCGGCACTTCTACATGTTGCTTGGGTCGAGTCGTGGTCGGCGCGGGAAGTAGATCATCGTATCTTTCCTCCGTATTTATTTCGTGGGTCGTCTCGTCTGCGTCTGATCCCTAATTGCTGTTAAGTCTCATTCTCTCATGAATATTCATTCTGGGTCAAAAATGTCGTTATATTCCAATTCTGGCGCGCTCGTGCAGCTGTTTTTAGTTATCCTGCAAAATTTGTCGCAGAAAAGAACAAAAATCGTCCAGTCCCGAGATGAAAATACTTATTAAATCTTCAGCTGCCCTAACTAATTTTTTGTGCCAGAGGGTCGCTCGAGCATGATCCATCGAGTGTTGAATCTAAAAATCATGTGAACAATATCGACAAGAGCATGGGTCCTCTAACGTTCGTGATTTTCTCTTCTCTCCTCGCGGATAGTTTGCCGCGGATAATGGTGCAGCCTGGAGGACGAAAAATACGTTCGGGACCAGCACGTCACCTGCATTTCCATTTGCTAGTATTTGTGCACGTCGTCAGCCTCGCTCCGCTGCCGACTTTCGCGACAAAACGGACGTCGAAGAAGAGAACGTCCACGCATTTATTGCACTTTCACGACTTTTATGCATTGGCATTGCAAATATGTCTGGGTCTGGAAACTTGTGATGCTGGGTGGCGTATCATGAGGAGGGCACAACTGCTGGCTCAGCATGACAAGTTTTTGAGCTTCTTGGTGTTGCCTCTTCTGCATGACAAACTGCGTTTCTGCATCACGGAAAAGTGGGGCTCTTGGGTAACGTGCATGACAGATTTAAGAGTCTTGCCAGACAAGCACGACAAACGTTCACCCTTCCAGACCCAAGCATTTTTACATTTGATAACTTTGTCGACTTCGCGTTCCCGGAAGAGTGGATAGCCCAGAACCTGGAGCTGCCTGCTGGCGACGACAATCTTCACACCTTGCAAGAGAACGCGCCGCACATGCACGAGGCCTTCGACTATGCCAGTATGTTGGAGGAAGAGGGCGGTGGGCCGGACGAGGAGAAAGCACAAGACACGACGATGAAAATGCAGTTGCAGTTCGATTTCGTAGTAGATGACGAAAAAGAAAAAGAACTGCAGGCGCCGGCGGAGAAAAATGAGCCAGGACCTGCTTTTGCAGAGCAAGGGCAAGATGCAATGGTGAACAAGAAACAGGATCACGATCAACAAGAGACAGTGTACCACGTGCCGCTGCGTGTTGACTACGACCCCGAGGTGGACGACGAGAAGAAGCTCGAGCACGAACACGACGTCTTACTCGCGAACGCAATTCACCAGGGGTGCTACACGCATGTCGACGTGTCGCCGGACGTTGACGACGGGGAGGCGCAATCGAAGCTGCACTCCTGCACGTCCTGGGTGAAGGAGAGATTTGACGCCACTTGGGACGATCTCGTCGAAGAAGTTGTGGGAGGAGAGAAACAAAAAGGAAAAGCCGAAGAAGTCGCAAAGCAGCATGAAGATCTAGGTCATGACAACACACCGGCCCTCCCACTCCTGGTCGGACCTGCGCTGGATGAAGCGCAACTCAACGGAAGAGTGCAAAGTGACTTCGGCACGACGGCGAAAAGCTTTGGAGACAAGGCGAAAGAGGAACAGAGAGCGATTGTGGAATGGCAGAGCCAAGAAATAAACACGAATACCAATAGTACAACCGCACGAGCAGGACCCCCTGCAGCCCATTCAACGCCTCCGCTCCCGTTTGAAGATGAAGATGATGCTCTTTCCGAGCAGGAGGACAAAACAGGCCCGGAATCTGCTACTACTAGTAAGGAAACTACTAGTAGCATCAAAACCGAAGACACTAGTGCGACACCAGAAAGCAGTGGTGCATTCTTTCAACTACGATTACGGATGGTTAACGACACGAGTCATGATTTCGACGCCGGCTACTTCCTGGATCACCAAGAAAAGGAAAACTCCTACCAGCACGAAAATGAGCGCCAGGAGTTCAACTTTAACGATGTCCGGGCGTGGGCGAGCACCAGTACTTCATCTGCATCAACCGACTCTGTCTCGTCCTTTTCCAGTGCTGGCAGTGTGGTCGCAGTCGCTTCGCAAAATTCGTTTCTGTCTGGAATGAGCAACATCGGCGGCACGACAAGAACAACCTCTGCGACGAGTGAAACGTTAGCTGCCCCAGATCGTGGACTTACAGCACAGCACGGGAGTAGGAACGAAGCACCACCAACCACCTCGAAGTTCATCCCCGTAATTGTGCCTGTTTCATCGGTTTATTCCGTCGAAATCAGTCAAGCTGGTTCATCAGAAAAAGAGGGGAAAGATGAACAGCCCCACGATGCTGGGAAGGACGACAGCATCGCAGCCGGTCGTGCAGGTCAAGGCGGAAACACTTCCAACATCAGGACGAGGTACCCCAGGATGTTGAAGCTGTCATCTCAGTCTCAAGCTTTTGCAGGCTCAGCAATACAAACTCGCTCTGCATGAAGATGTTGACACTTTTTCATTAAACAATCAAAAGAAAAAATCAGTGACGCGTAGTGAGGTCACCGAACGGTTCTAACCTGGCAGTTTTCTTGACATGGAGCACCAAAAACGACCGGCAGTTTTCAAGCCTATAGAGAGTTTTTTTGCCTGAAAAAGCTCGCAGCGTGCAAGCCTGTTTGGCTTTGTTATCAACGAATCGCCGGCGGATTCTATCGCTCGCCGCTGGATAAAACGACGCAAGGGAGCCGGCAAAAGGGGCGCCCTTCTGAGGCGCCCACCGCCTTGGTTTCTGGCGATTTGGGGCGCCCAAAAGGGCGTCCGAAAAAAACGAGCCCAAAATCAGAACAGCGAAACCGCATGGCACGGTCGCGATTTCGGAGCATTTTGGGCGGCCGCGAAAGCGGCCGCCTTTTCGCCTGTTTCTCATCGGGGGAAGCTTTGCAAAAAGCGCAGACGCGAAAAATGAAAACGCAAAAAAGAAAAAGCGCGCCAGATGCGTGAAGCCAATCTATCCGCATGCTACGGGCCCGATTTTTCTTCGGTTTCTGGGCGCCCCCCGCGGCGCCAGGGTCGGCCCCGTAGCGCCGGGGCTGGCGTTCGGCCAGGGATTTTGCAAATTTGCCAAAGGCCCGCCACTTTTTTCAACTGGCCGCCATGCCGTGCGGCATAACCTTACCCACGGCGGCATGGCGGGCCCAGAAAAAGCAAAGCCGTGGCCAAGGC